AGGACCGTTAAGTTGCAGGAGAGCACGAATTGCAGAAAGCCTTAATGCGATGGAATGCGAAAGTGAAGAAAAGCAAAAATTTCCCTAAGTGTGGGTATTTATAAGGACGAAAAATAAACAGGAGAGATTGCCAACTGCAGGATCATAAAGAGTGAAGGGCTGCGATCAGAAGGCAAATGAACGGGCGCGTAGTTTCGAGCCGTAGGATTAAAGTAGAAAATCCAACGGCAGGAAAAGAGGGTACGCGGAAACAGGGCGAGATTCGAGGCAACACGGGTCACGAGGTCATCATGACCTCTGACAGATGAAAGGACGCATTCCAAAAAGGGCGGACAAGTGGCAAGATTCAAAATTCAAAAGATGCAAAATAGCGGTTAGGGGAAAGAGTAAACGCACAAGAGAGGAGAATGCACTAGATGGTCGAAACAGGTGGAGTGGAATCTCGGCGACATAGACAAGCCTTACTCTTAGATCGAGTCATTCAGACTCGACCAGAGTGGGGGGACTAGATGATATGGGATATTGTATACTAGACCGGTTCGCCCGGACGACCGGAGAAAATAGGTCAGACCGCTGGATTACCTGAGTTAGGAGAGATCGAGTAACCTGGTCAAGAAGGACCAAACACTAGCAACAAAGGAGCAGAGAGCAGACAGAAGAGATTAAACGTGTTCGACAGATGCGGACCACCACGAGTGGTCGAATAAGGCGTGGTCGCAAAAGATTGGTCGAATATCAGAGGGGCATGAGGGAATCTTCAGCACGTGAAAGGAAGGACGCGTGGCGCATTGTGAGTTGCTACGTAGCTGCAACGAACTCTGACATTCTCTGACAAAGAGGACGCGGCTCCTGACACTAAAGATAGTGGAGGCGCGCGGTCGTACGGACGAGCAGGAGACATTTGGCCGGACTCGCCTTGCTCGCGCGTGCAGCTCAGGTAACTCGCCCTTATAAATAAGGGCGAAAATCCTCATTTTCAGTAAGATCTAATACATTCTGGTACTTTTTCATACACTCATATTATCTCTCAAGATCTGACTTGAGCGTTGGAGGCTCTTCATCGGAAAACACCTCCGGTGTGGGAGTTTCGTGCAGGTTCCGCGTTCAACCGGCGAGGAGAGCAAGCTTAGGGCGAACTCCAGTTGGTCAGGGTGCGAGACTTGTATTAGATTAATTACAAATTCACCCATAAACTCAATTTAATTTATTAAAACTTTTAAAATTGTAATTAAGCCCCTAAATGTTATTAAATTTACAAAATGAAGTCCTTGCTTATTAATTCACAAAATTGAACAAACAAAATCTGAAAAAATGTCTC